CTCCAGCAAACCACTCCTCATTTCCAGGGACCTGAAACAGGACATGGATTCATTCCCCCCATGCTCAGAGAGTTGCAGGACACCCTGGACCACCTCCAGGCAGACTTGGACTTCTGGAGCATTTCTCTCCCCAGTTATTGCAGAAACAAGAAGTCGGAAACCCTCCTGTGATAACAGCCTGGCACCCTGACAGCTGGGTGTGGGGAAAGGGAGGGGGAAAAAAAACCCAAAAAGGGGACTTTTTATCCCTGCCTCAGCAACTCGTGTCTTGAGCTCAGTCATTTTCCTGCTGTGGTTGAATGGGCTGAGAAGCAACCCAGGCTGTGCCAAAGAGGGAGGGAGGGAGGCGTGCAGGGGGCTGAGCGAGGCTGGGAAGTTTCTAAGCTTGTCTGCATCCCAAGGGAGCCATTCCCGAGGCTGCAGCGCTGCCTTCTGCCCAGCAAGATGCCGACAGAGCAGTTAATGAGTAACCTCCCACCTCTCCTGGACAGCAGACACTCCCCTACACAACAGGTTGCACTAGTTTGTGAATCACTCCCGGGCTGAAGGATCTCGGAGGAGGAGGTTTCAGATGCTGCTTGAGGGACTGCAGCTCCCTGGCAAGGCAGGGCTGGCTAAAAACCAAAATTAGGAGCATCAGCAAAACGACCACACTGGAAAGATGGGCTGCAAGGACTCCAGAGAGTGGGCTGGTTTTGATTTTAAAGCCCCTCTAGAGACTTTAGCTCTTGTTGACACAAGCGGATGGGTCAGTTAATGCACACCAGCTCCTGCCTGCTTAACACCAAACCCTCGAGTCCAGCCCTGGCAAGGTCCAGCCTGACTAAAGTCCAGCAGAAGGAGGAAGAGAAACTCCCTTCAAGGTGTGGGAAGTGGAAAGCAAAAGGCTGCATAACCACCTGAGAAGCCTGAGCAGTCGGGCTGGGAGGAAAGTGCTTGGCAAGAAGGAGAAACTCAACAACACTGAGGCAAACCACGTTTCTCTTGCTGCATGAAGTGGAGGATCATCAGCACAGCACGACTAAGGGGAGGGTAGGGAGGACAGCACCTCTGTTGCCTGCTGCAGAAGGGCAGGATTTCCAAGGGAAAGGACTTCTCAGCTTATTGCACAGCTTTAGAGAAGCTCAATTCCTGAACTGGGCAGCGCAGGCACAGCCAGGCAGCTCAGCTCAGCTCGACTCGCCTGCTGTTGTGCAAATGGGTCTCAAACAGATGTACAAAGAGAGGGGAACTTGCAACAAAGCTGAAGGGTGTGTGGATGTGTCTCTGGGCCCTGGATAGGGCAGGAAGTAAAACAGCAGCTGGGAGAGATAGAAAGGAACCAGCTTCCCAAGCCTGAGTGAAGGATGAGAAATGCAGAGGAGGAGCTGCCCACCCACTCCTCATCTGACAGTGACTGCCTGCAAGCTCCAGACCAAAAAGACAGCTGACCTTCTTGAAAGAAGCACGAGCCTGATCTTTGATGCTGCAAAATGAGGACTCAATTCAGCTGCTGAACCACGTGAAGCCACGTTCCCCAACTGTCCCTCCTCCAAGGGAGTAATGTTGCTCTCCCGTCTGCTCCCAAGGCCCCTCGTGCTTCTCCTCCTTCCCAACTCCTTCCCTGCTTCAGAGCTAAAGAAAAGCCTCCCTCTCTTCCCCAACCACTCCACTTCATCAGAACATCCAGCCACAAAATCCAAGCATTAGATTGAGCTACAGATCCCTGTGGAGGATCCACTTGGAACTTCACACAGTTGGTCTGAATAACTGCCCCAAATATCCCCAGCCATGGTGACTTCAGAGCCCTGTCACTGCCTGGAGGATGCACTCAGATTTCTCCCAGTGGATTTTATTACCAGTATCTCTAAAGAGGATGGAAGCTTCCAGCCCTGCCTGAAAGCTTGCAGCAAAGTTTTGGAGGTAACTGCAGGTTACTGAGTAAACCAAGGTTAATCATCTCTTGCTAACCAGTTTAGAAGAAGTCACAGAAAGAAGAGGCAGAGGTATTTTTAAAGAGACCAAATCAGCTTATTTTCCTACTGAGCGTATGGAACGTCATGAACAAAGTCTCCTTGAAAGGCAAAGATCCCCAGTTCCATCAGGATTTGCTGGGTTAGACTGGGATCCACCAGGAGGGAGGACAACCCTGGTGCTCTGCCCAAGTGCAGCAGGGCCAGGGGGGTGAAGACAACAACAGCCTTTTGGCAAGATCTCCAGAGCCTGTGGGAAGGGACATCCACGCCCTGCCCAGCACCTGGATCCAAATCCCAGCAGGGAATGGGCTCATTTCAGCACGTTTACTGGTCCTACACCATCAGACACCACCCACCAACCGGATGGACTCCAGAGCCCCCGACATCCTGCTGCTGGTGAGTGAGAGGACTTGGCTTTGAAAGAAACAGGTGAAAATAAAGCCTCACACTGCCCAAAGGAGGATGGAAAACCTGCTGGAGAGGCCAGCAGGAGCTGCAGGAGCCGTCGGGATGGCTGCAGGTGCCACGTGGGTTTGTCCTCCTGGCAAAGCTGGTGTGACACCAGAGCTACCTGCCTTACCTTGCACCCAATCTCTGTTGTTTAAAGAGTGAGTAAAGTGCCAGCACAGCCCTGGCTGGTCAGACACCAGGACCTGAAGCAGCAGAGTGACGTCCTCAGTTGTCAAAGCAATAAACCCCTCCAGGAACAGGGACTGCAGGCCTGCATTCCAACCCACGGAGTGAATACTCCCAAGAACATCCCAACCCTTCCTGTTCCACGAGAGCACATTCAAATGAAGGTGAAGGAAAAGAGAAGCTTTCCCTTCTGATTTCACTTGGCTTCCTCAAAACACTTGAGCCCCAGCGACTAACAAGTTTCACTCTGGCTTGGCCACAAAATCCCAAAGCTCCTTTCCTGTGGATTCCATCCCAAACAGCAAAGGTAAGGAAGCACCCACAGCCACTTTGGGCTGGAAGTCAGAGCCCAGACACCCCTTCCTCACCCCTCCCGGGCCCTTTCCCTGCCAACACAACCCCAGTTTCCCAGCAGGGCGCTCAATCCCACCGAGAGGAAGCCCAGTGGGAGGGGAAGCTCGAAAGGAATTCCCACCCTCCGGCCCCTAAAAGCCACAGCCCAGGGATGCATTTAGCCCTGTAGGCTCAGTTGGAACGCCAGGAGAGCCTGAGGGTCAATGCCAGACCCCCCCTTCCCAGAGACCCTCAGAGCCAGGGGGATCAGAGAGGCAGGGCAGGGTGGTCCCGGGGGGTCGGTTCAAGGGGGGGGGTCCCAGCCCCACAGCACAACCAGGACG